TGAGTCAGGGCACTTGTCAGTAAATTGTGCAAGACCCCCAAAACATCCTCGTTTTATAGATTGTAATAAGGTGCACCCCAAAAATGAACAGCAAAATTGCGGAAAACCATCAGCTTTTGTGCTAAAAACAAGTATTATCGACAATAAATTTCTTAAGAAAATAACGATTGGTGGCAAGCAAGCCATTGCATTTATTGATACTGGAAGCGAATGTAATATGGTCCGAGAAACATTTGCCAACGATATTGGTGGTACGCGCAGCAAAAACCTATTTACCATCGGTGGATTCGGTGGTGGAATAGAACGATCTGAGATACAAATCGACACGGATTTGAAAATCGATGAGGTTGAAAAACCGTTGACGTTGCACGTCTTCAAAGATTGTGTGTTGAATTACGATCTATTGCTCGGGGACGAAATATTTAATTGCGAAAATATACGTGCCGTATATGACAACGGACAGTTCAAATTCGAAGACAAAGTAAAAACGACGTGTAAAATTAATAAACTTAGTCCAATAACGGAGGATGACGTGTGTATGGACACTGTAAATTCAGATTCTAAGGGAAAGCTGTTAGAGGTGATGAATGAATTCCGAGAATGTTTCGCTACAGGTATGGATGGAATCGGCAAAACTAGTGTAGTCGAAATGAAAATTGAGTTAACAACCAACGATGTAATCGCACAAGACCCGTATAGAGTTCCGGAACCGAAAAAAGAAATCGTTGCGAAGAAAATTCAAGAGTTGCTCGAGAACGATATTATAGCTCCGTCTGAATCAAGTTATGCGAGTCCAATGTTGCTTGTGAAGAAAAAGAATGGCGAACATCGACTTTGCGTGGACTACCGTCGGATTAATCAATTCACTCGAAAAGAATGCTACCCAATGCCCAATATCGAAGAAAGTTTACAAGAAGCAACGAAGTATCGAATCTACATATCGTTAGATCTTAACTGTGGTTATTATCAAATTCCTATAGAACGTAACAGTCGTAAATATACTGCAGTTGTGGTTCCTGATGGTCTATACGAGTTTAAACGGATGCCGTTCGGGCTGAAGAACGCACCAGTCCTGTTTCTACAATTGATGGCGAAAATTAAAACGCGCTTGGAACCCAGCGATATGATTCACTACATGGACGATATGCTTGTCGGCGGCAACGATGAAGAAGAACTTCTCGGAAAGTTTAAACGAATTTTAGGTGTAATAAAAGAATTTAATTTAACATTGAATTTAAAAAAATGCGAATTTCTGAAAGATACTATCCAATTCTTGGGACATCAGTTGGGACCCAACGGGATAACGCCGGGTGAAATCAAGACCGAAGCCATACGAAATTTCAACATGCCTACAACGCAAACAGAGGTGCGGCGCTATTTAGGGTTAACGGGATATTTCCGTAAGTTTATACCAGGCTACGCAATTATATCCGACCGTTGCGACAATTACTTAAGAAAAACGCCGTCTTTAAATGGACAGATCAACAAACAAACGCCTTTGTGAGTCTAAATGAAGCACTAACAACCGGACCAGTATTAACGGGCTACCGAGTGGAAGCTGATCATCAAGTGCATACAGACGCGAGTGCCATCGGACTCGCAGGTGTTTTACTCCAAAATGACAGCGGAGATTGGAAGCCGGTGGCGTACTTTAGTCGATCTACCACACCGCTGGAAAGGAAATATCACAGTTACGAATTAGAAACGCTTGCAGTTGTCGAATCTGTGGACCGCTTTAAATATTACATCTATGGAAAGTCGTTTACGGTCATTACCGATTGCAATGCTGTAAAATTGGCCATGCAAAAGCGAGAAATGATACCTCGTATAGCCAGATGGTGGCTTCGTATCCAAGACTATGACCTCATCATCGAACATCGAAGCGAGCAACGAATGGCGCACGTCGACGCACTAAGTCGTATGCCTAACGAAGACGGTTGCGATCTTGAGGAAGCGACCTTGCGAGTCTGGAAGGCGGAAATAACTGAGGCAGATTGGCTTTACAGTATGCAATTACAAGATAGCAAACTTCAACAAGTCGTAATGAAAATTGAGGATAAGGATTCAGACATTATTAACGACTATAAAATAATTAACGAACGACTGTACAAACGGTATAAAAACCAACAGCTCTTCGTAATACCAAAGGCTTTACGATGGAAGGTGACACATGATGCACATGTTAAAACAGGACACTTAAGCGTTGACGGAACGATTGAATACTTACTACGGTCTATGTGGTTCGCTCGAATGCGAAACTTTGTCAAATCTTTTGTGAAAGCGTGCATTGATTGTGCCTTCACTAAGCGTCGAGGAGGTAAAAAGGAAGGTGAGTTACATTGCGACAAAATGGAGCCTATTCCGTTCAAAACAATACACATTGACCACCTGGGACCTTTTCCCCGAAGCCGAAAGTTAAACGAGTATATCCTGATTATTGTGGACAGTTTCACAAAATTTGTCATCGTCAGACCAGTGAAAAGTACGAACACTAAACAAGTCATCGCCATTCTGAATGAAGTTACCAGTTACGTTGGAATCCCTGAAACTATAATAAGTGATCGTGGTACCGCCTTTACGTCAAAAGAATTCGAAAGATACTGTAACGATCAACAAATCAAACACATACGCAACGCAGTCCGTACGCCACGAGCCAATGGCCAAGTCGAACGATTTAATCGCACCGTTTTATCCATGCTGCAACCATCAACACAAGATGACCGAACCTGGGACGAGCAACTACGAAGCATTCAATGTACATTGAACTCACTGATTAGCCAAACGACGGGAAAATCTCCAAACGAATTGCTTTTTGGATTCAAACTACGCGACATATTAGGTAACAAGCTGATCCAAATTCTCCAAGATGAAGACGATACTATTCCCATCACCCAAGAAGAACTCCACCGCCGACGATTACTTGCTGCTAATAACACCGATAGTAAACGGGTAAACGCGAAAAAGCGTTTCGACGATAAACACAGGAAACCAACGAAATATGAGCAAGGTGATTTAGTTCTAGCAGAACGAGAACCAGCATCCACAGGCACGTCCCGCAAACTTGAATGTCGATATAAAGGACCGTTCGTAGTCACCGAAGTTCTCGATAATGACCGTTATGTCATCGAAGACCTACCAGGATCCGATCGAAAACAACGACATTATAAATCAATCTATGCGTCTGATCTCCTAAAGCCATGGTGTCAATTGCCGTACGAAGAAGAAACTGATTCCGAGCGCGAGGACGCTTGACGTCAGGAAGGGCCGACCTACATCCGAAACGCACAACTGGGCACCTTAAAATTTTTAACAACAGGTGGTCACCTAACCTATGTTTGACAGCGAATGACACAATCGAGTGAAGTAGAATAACGGAAGTGCGATGGGTAGCGTCGTGAATAAATATATTGTTTTAGTTAAATAAAGTAAAGTAATGTTATGTAAAAAGAAAGTCTATTAACGTTTTGTAGTTAACGCAAAAAACCAAATTTAAATTAAACCAAAGTTTAAATATATAAGATACGCTGTTCATTACCTGCAAATGTCCACTCAGTTTTAGAATCGTATCTGCATAATAGAAGCTTTAAAGTGAAATGCAAATCATATACTTCTAATAATTTCCCAATAGAAGCTGGCGTTCCACAAGGAAGTGTTCTTGGCCCTATATTGTATGTACTTTACACATCTGATATCCCGATAAGTAGTTCAGTTATCACCACAGCGTTTGCCGATGATACGGCAATTTTATGCCGAAACAGAAACGCTGTGCTAGCTTCAAACCAACTTCAATCTCACTTATATCGGGTGGAGAAATGGTTGTCAAAATGGCGAATTAAAATTAACGAAGTAAAATATAGACACGTCATTTTTACCTTAAATCGGAGTACATCTCCAACAATTTTATTAAACAACATTCCCATACTACAAGCAGATAATATAACGTACTTAGGTATCCACCTAGACAGACGACTAACTTGGCGCAAACATATTGAAGCCAAAAAAAATTCAGATGAAGCTCCAAGCCTCTAAGTTGCATTGGCTCATTAATAGCAGATCTTCGCTGTGCCTAGAGTATAAAGTAACCTTGTATAACAGCATCATTAAACCAATATGGACTTATGGTATCCAGCTATTTGGCAATGCTAGTGCTTCAAATATTGAAATTATACAAAGAGCTCAGTCAAAAATACTAAGAATTATCACTGGTGCCCCATGGTATATTAGGAATGAAAGTATACACCGAGATCTACAAATTCCCCTAGTTAAAGCTGAATTTGACAATATAAGAAAAAAATACAATAAAAGGCTAACAGAGCATGTTAATCCCTTAGCAAGAAATCTCGCACTTCTATCCATTACTTCCCGCCTAAAAAGAGCTGACCGTCCAGCCGTTAATTAATATTCAACAGCTCAACAGCTTGAAGTAAAAACCGCACCTTTCTTTTTAGTAATCTGTTAAAGTTGAATCACTTTCTTAAGAAACCACCTAACATTCACTCCAATGAAATTTAACCCATTAATCTAAGTGAGGTTCGTGATATAAGGTTTACTTATTTTATTTTATTTTATTTTATTTTATACAATGTATAGTTAAAATAAAAATTTGTAACATTATGTAATTAGTTATAAGATTTTACAACTTATTGTTAGTCTCATTTTAAGAGAAGATGCAATAAATAAATGTATGTTTTAAAAAAAAAAAAAAATTTCAAATGTAGCTGAAAATCCATTATCTAAATGACAGCGATAGAATCATAAAGATATGAAGCACATTTACATACCGCAACCTGCTATTGTTAAATGTTATACAAACGGATGGAAGGAGTTAATCTTGCTGGCATGTTATTGGAGCTCTATAAAAGCAACCACTGTTCTGCAAAATGGTATATGCGCATAGTTTATTGGTGTTTCAATACGGTTGTTGTCAATAGCTAGTTGTTGTATCGGAGAGACGGAAAAAATGCAACCGGGGAAGCGGATCATATACCATTACTGGATTTTTAATTGGAAATAGCAGATGAGCTACTGAACGCGCATAAAACTGTTACAACAAAACCACGCAAAAGAGGACGTCCCTCATCTTTTTTATCGATCACGCAATCCAATCCATCATCACCAGACATTTCAGAAGCTCCATCATCACCTTGTTCTTTAACTGCGACAAAACGCTTTTACTTTCTAAAACCTTCGAAAGCTATGCGTCTTGATGAAACAAGTCATTAGATTGAATGGGGAACAAAAGGTAGATGCAGGTTATGTGATACTGGTTTCCCGTGCTCAAAGTGCTCAATTTATGCAAAACTTGTTAAACAAATACACAAATACCAAATCCATATACTTTGTTGCTTTATTTTCTTGTACTGTAAAGGCCCATATCATAAGAGTAAAGAGTAATAGAATATATTATTTTTTTATTGCAAAAAATGATGCACTGCAAAAACCATTATGTATGTACAAATGTGATATTGGAGACATTAAGTCTGCAGTACATAAATATGTATGTTTTTATTGCACATTTGTGCATATATTTTTCCTCAAATGGAACTACTTCTTAACACATAGTTTGAATCTTTGGTGACTTTTTGTAATTATTTTAAAAAATATTATTTTAAATAAGACGTGTTTTCTGAAGTCTGTTACAATTTTTAAGATTTTTAAAGAAAATAAAAATATTAGAAATATAAAATAAATGATAATGAAAAAATGTGTTGAAGTCACTAAAACCACTAATAATGCCTCCTGGTTTGAGGAAACGCATGAATGCTATTTACACCGGATTGAAATGTTAAAATTGGTGATTACGATATTGATTCGGAAACATTGCGCATGGGCAACATTTAAGAATAAAGCTTCATAGAATGGAAAAAATCAGATTTGAGACATAAATAAATTTGTAATGTGTTTTTACACTACAATTCATACCAATAGCAAACAGGGAATTTTGTTTTTGTTTTATACTATTAAATTCAAAAAATTATCAAATGTACACAATTTTGATTTCGTCACTGAAATGCTGTTTGATCGCTTGAACATTTTACAGCGAACAAACACACAAACATGCGTATAATGTAATACAGAGGGTTGCATGTAGGATTGAATACGTATGCAGTCGGGCCTCACTTGACTCACATATAGGTTTGAACTGAACATCATACCAGTTGTGACTCGATCGAACATTGTTGCATGTGGTTGGGTGGATTTATTATAAATCCACCAGCAAAATAAAGTGGGTATTTCGTTTGTATGAGCGTGGCACTTCTTTGTACTATAGATTCTTTGCTTTAAGTTCACTTACTAAATTTGCATTTAAAAATGTACAAAAGTTAGGAAGTAATTTACAAAAAACTAATATTTAAAGTTAAAATACAAATAAGGTTGAAACAGTTATAATTTTTAGTTTACATTATAAATACTTAACAAAACTAATTATTTTTAATATTTGTTAATTTATGCAATTGCACATTTGTGCACATTTGTCCAATCGTAATATTAGAACAGCACACTCGTGTGCGAAGAGAACTTCGTTTCGCACAGTGCGGTGCGAGCATTAACTTTTCTCGCACATCTGATTGTGCACATTTTTATAAGTCAGTCGCACAGCACATATGTGTATGCACGAATTTGTGTGCACAATCATCGCTTTGTGCGATGTGAAATTTGAAACCGCACGTCAAATTTGAGTGTGTACATTTTTTTTCTTAACACCACAAATGTACGTGTGCATATTTTAAAAATAATTTCCACTCGCATAGTGCAGTGTGCGATTTTGTGAACCACATTATGAACTCTGGTTTTTAACAATCATACATGAAAATTTCAAATTTCTTCTAGAGATGTGACTCATTTCGGAAGTGCAACAGCAACTTCATTAAGTCATCACGTAGAAGATTTTGTTCTCAATCGTACACGAGTTCACTTGATAAGAAAAGAATGCCGACGCAGAAAAGCGCATGATATGTTGAAGAATTAGTTAAATTTTTTACTTTTTAAGGTATATTTAAGAGGTTTGATTGCAAATCGCTCAAACTATTGTATTTCATTGGGATGGAATACGTCAATGCGTAGGTCGTGGTCGTTGTGCCCACGACCTACGTCAATGATTAATGTGGCAAGTCATTGCATTGTAGGCAAAACAAATGTGACATAATTTATGTAATGCACTTTTGTCGAACTTTCGCTTTGACTATGATCACGTTATGTTTTGAATGCATTTGACTCAAGCAGTTACAAATGCATATGTAACATAAAGTGGGGTGCAGACTATCATACTGGTGTGTCATACGAGTTGCGCTCTCTCTTGCTCAAATTTCTTCTAGCGACCGAATTTGAACAGGTATGACACACAAGATTAGGCAAAATTTTTGAAGAGTGCTTTTGCGGGTAGTGCTGTGAAAATTTGTGTGTTTAAAATAAAATTTTAAAATTGAAAAAATTGATAGTTAACGTATAGGTTGTGCTTTGCTTATAATTGATTATAATTTTGTATATTTTATATATGCCGCGTTTATTTTGCGATCTTTATATTCACAGCTTTGGACATCCCACAAACAGCGATTACTTTTATTAACATTCGATGAAAGCATCTAAAAATGCTTTATCTGCATCCATATTCATATTTTTTTTAGGTTTATTGGTCATTAAGCACAGTAGTTAAAATGAAAAGATCAGTAAAGGACCGTAGTTAATTTCATTCACTACCTGTAAAGTTTCTTAAGAAATTTTTCATAAATAGATCATACAAATAATGTATATGTATATATACATAAGAATGTATATATCTTCATTGTTTTTGAAGAAATTTGATCATTTCCATATTTTTGTTAGTTAAAGGTTATTAACATTTAAAATTCTTTTATTTTAATAACAAGTTTTAACAAAGAAAAGTATATTTAGAATACAAAGTATTATGTTTTAAATTTAGGTTATTAATTAATTGTTATTACGACCAATTTTCAATATGTTTTTTTATTACTGGGCTTAGACCATAAATTTAACGATGTTTATATATAGATGTTTTTTTAAAAAAAATTTTCCTTATAATCATCGTTTATAAATTAAAATAAAATAAAATAAAATATTTAATAAACTAAATAAAATATTTAATATATTACATAAAATATTTAATTGTATTTAATTTTTTATAAGAATTTTATGTAAAAATTTATATTTTTTTTAACTAAGATACAATTAAATATTTAACACAAATTTATAAGTGTAATTTTAATAATAATAAATAAATTAATAATAAATACATTAATAATAAAATAATAAAAAACATATTATAATTAATATTACATATTCCAGATACCTAATGAAGCTACGGTTTTTCAGGCTGAAATCCTAGCAATAAAAGAAGCCTGTCGGCAAATTGCAAGCCACATCGAGAACAGATGTAGTGTTGCTATTTTTATTGACAGCCAGGCAGCAATTAAAGCTCTTGAATCCTTTATAACAAAATCAAAAATAGTAAAAGAATGTAGAGAAGCAATCGACGAGCTAAACCGGTTGGCCGATATCACACTCATCTGGGTTCCTGGGCATAGGAACATCGTAGGGAATGAGAAAGCTGATAGTTTAGCCCGCTCTGGTGCCTCCCTAGATGCGTCACTGGCGGTATCAGTCTATATTACCCTGGAGACCATCAAAAGAAGTACCTTTCTTTACTTTCTGCAACTCGCCAATAACAGATGGAAAGCACTAAGGTCATGTGCAACTTCCAGGTTAACGTGGCCCACTTATAATAAAAATAAATCTCTGGAACTCATCAAAAAAGATCGCGTAAACACTGCAAGGCTTATTGCGGTTCTTACTGGTCATTGGTGGTTAGGAACTCACGCAGAGAAACTGCGTATTCCCCATAACTCTCACTGCAGAAGTTGTGGAAACCCGCGGGAGAAAGAAACAATAATACATTTTCTCTGTGAATGCCCAGCTCTAGCATCCAGAAGATATAGGTTTTTAGGAAAATACTTTTGTGATAGTTTATCAGACTGCTCAATGGTAAGGATGAAAGACCTGTTAAATTACCTAAATTCGGTGGGATGGATTTAGTCTCTACTCTTCTATACTAGGGTTCTTGCGAGGAATGTGGTAACAAAACGGCGAAAAATCGCTAATTGAGGTACATTTGAAGTTATCTTATGACCTGCCACTGCAACCAACCAACCAACATATTCCACCTGCTTACAATAAATTTGCAAGGCAAAAATGCTCTTGTATGACGTATGAATCGTTAGGGGTGACAGACTATCATACACAACGCGTATGCGAGAGCTGTTCACCAAAATTTTGGTGAGCACGCCAACACGTTGGTAAAGGTGGCAGACTATCATACCTGTGTGTCATACGACGTTTTTCTCTCTCGTATGACATACCAGTATGATAGTCTGCACCCCACTTAATGCGCGAGCCAAGTGATAAAGCGTAAGTGGTCGTTGCACTAGCATGACCCAAATTCTTTAGGGAAGAGCAATGCAATTATTATAAATATTAAATATGACATATGCTTAAAGACTCATTATGAATATGTTAGAATATTATAGAACTATTTTGTATTAGAGATGAAGATGTAACTAATCAATTATTTATAGTACATAAGAAATATGAAACATTGTTTATACATAAGTTTTAAACGGTATAAATACCGGAATATTTTGTTTAATAAAACATCGGCTCCAGAAATTTAAATTTCGACTAGATTATAAAGAATTATTACAGCTTTCTCTCATAGGCTCCAGAAATTTCAATTTCGATTAGATTATAAAGAATTATTACAGCTTTCTCTACTTTTCATTGGTGGAGATGATCCATATTCCAGGGATTCCTGGGCTCACATCACGTACCAGATTTATGGCAAAAGGAATTTATGTTTATAAAATGTGTCTATTTCAAGATAAATTTAAGCTGACGGCAACAAAATTAAATTCTATTTGCAGTATTTGCATTTTTCTAACTCACAATTACGTACAGTATCTGTTTCCATGCCAGCACTTAATTGAAGTGCCACGTAGGGATTTACAACTAATTAAAGATTCAATGCAGTATTTTGATAAACGAATTTCAGCAGTTTTATTAGAAAAACTTGAAAATCACTTGTGGTATTTGTCAGAAGAAGCAGTTGGTTTAGCATTTTTCGACTCTGAAGTTCCATTGGAA